CAGTGGTAGAATTACCATCCCTGAAAAGGTTCAAAAAATGAGTAGATGTGGCACTTCAAGATAAGGTCTAGTAGCATGGTGGGATTGAGTTGGAGGTTGGACTCAAATCTTAAATTAATGATTCTATGTTCCTTTTTCTCTCTGCTTTACTATGAAGGTCAGCTTCCCTTCACTGATGAGAAGTGCTGAGCGACAGCAACTGCACTTGCACCTCTCCCGTGGGCCAGTCTGCTCAGGGAAAGTCCAACTCACCTGGGTTTTGATTTTTTATTTGAAGAGCTCTCAAAGGTTGAGGCATCCACTTGAATCTCATCTTCATCCTGCAGAGCTGCTTCCAGAGCTGCCTGGACCTTGGGAGCGATGGCTGGACCCTCATAGTTCCTCGTTGTCCGGCTGGGCACGTCCATTTCCAGTAACACGATGTTCTCTGCCTGAGACAGGAAAAGCAGAATCAAAGTCTCCATGTTTTCACACAAACTGTTACTTTGCCCTCCAGAAACTTAATCTGAAGTACTTTATAAATGTATGCAGGACACTACAAATTTACATCTCAAAAGAGAACGCACAATCCCCTCTGGAATTCACATTCCCCTGATCACAGGGTGAAGAGGCAAAGGTTCAACCACATCTGGGCTTACCCTGTACCGAGCAGCTGTGTGATTCATCATGGACGTCCTGGCGTGTTGGCTCAGGGGCCTTTTGTACCCCACAGCAGATACTGGTCTTTTCATCATCTGCTGGTTACTAGAGAAAAACACACTCAGGCTGTTATACCCTAAAACCAAAAGCTCCTCTTGGAGTTTATGAGCTACAACATCTGCAAATTCCATGCAGAAATCCGTTTCAACACAGCAGAAACCACCCAGGCTGCATTTGTAGCAGCAGGAAAGAAATATGATAGGAATGCACTGCTATTTTAAGAGTGAATGCACTATTACATGTATTTTACATATAATTATTGGGTTTGCCTATTAGAAGAATCATAATCTCTTGAGAATTCTCCTAACCATACATTTGTATTTTATAGCACCTATTAAGAGGAATAAATTGATTTGTTTTATTTTATTACACATCAAGAAGCTGCGAGCTCTAGAAGGTCAGTTTAAAGCCCCAATTCAATCCCTCTTTTGTTCTTGACAGCTAGAGGGTTTCCTGTGACCTGTAATTCCATCCCAAGAGCAGAAGTACACTCACTCCAGACGGGTTATGGGATGTAGTTTCCAGTTGTCTTCCTCTTCATCAAGGAATGATCTGTTCATGATCTTATTCTTTTCTTCCAAGGGAATAAAGTTTTCAATAATCAGGTGCCTACATGCAACCACAAAAATGAGAAATATACAAGAAACATAATTAGCAATGACTTTCCTTACTGCTCCCCTCCCACTGATGTAATACAACCCTGGAAAAGGAGGAATGGTTTTGTTTCCTCATGGTTAAATCTTATTCCACAAGTATGTGCAAGGCAGTCCCTCCACTCCCTGCCCCGAGAAACCCTCTCTGTTACAGTTAATAGCTTACTCGAGTGATGTGGCTTACTTTAGCTTTAGTTCCCTGGTGAGTTCATTCTGGGTCTGTTCCATTTCCTGGCGCCCCTTGATGTGCTCTTCTTGGAGATCATGGATCTCTGCCTTCACAGCTTGTAGCTTGGAAAATAACTGGAGCACACAACAAGAGCCAAAATCCATCACTTGCCAAAGCTCCTCTCACTTTCACACACAAGTTGATTTTGTTCCCAGCCTGATAGACAGGGAATCGTTTTCTTTTTACCTTTTTGAGTTTTTTGGTCTTTATGTCCACCTCTTGCTGAAGAGAACTGTAGGTCTCCTTCAGCTCTAGTGTTTCCTCATCCTGACTCTCCATCTGTTGCTGGATTTCTCGCTCCCGACGTTTCTGAAGAATGTGAAAATATGGCATTAAAGACCTGAATTACCTTGTCACCTCCAGCTGACACACATGAAACCAATGCTCCGGATGGGTTTCCTTTCCTGCCTTCCAGTTCTTCGTATCTCTTGGCATAGAAATACCAGAAACATCTTATTTGTCCTTATTTTGCTATTAAAATCAGGTAGTGTGAACAAGGCTCAAGCTTCAACTAAAGGAATCAAATGTAATTTTAAATTTTTTTTTATCGGTTTGTACTGGTAATTGTATTTAAGAATCACTAACAAAATTTGCATTAACAGAAAATAAACTTTCAGCACAGAATAAAGGCCCTTCCCTTGAGCTAAAGGCTGAACTGATACTCTTAGAAGTCTTACAAATATTTCTTCATTTACAAACAGCTCCAATCAAGACAGGAAGTAAATCTTTACCATGAAGAACTAGAAGAAAACGTTTATAAACCTTCTTTACATATTTCAAATAATGACAAATATGACACAAGCCCTTCCCCCTTCTTTTCAATAAATGAT